TTTGACATGCTAATCATCTTAAATAATTGAGACTAAACAAAAATGACATAAAAAGAAGACCAACTGTTAGTTTTGTCAAGAAAATTTTTTATTAAAAACACATAGTGTTTATACGGCCGTATAACATCCGTATAAATATTTGTATGATCACCACATAATCGATCGTATAGTTCAAATCCATATTTTTTACCGTATAGCAAAAAGCAGTACAATACTTCTTCACTGTAGCGATTAGCAGGAAAACGTCACCGTATGGACAGTTGACTAAACAATCCAGCAATCGCCAGTAACATTCCAGATTTCCGGCGCAAAAAAGTTGGCAAGATCAATGGCCAATAACGGAGTCGTACATTTCCATAAACCTAATATTTCCTTAAGTAATCATAATCAACGGTTTAAAATCCATATATTCCAATCTCGATGATCTAACGGACCTTACAGCTTCGAGCGTAGAGTAGGGAGCGTAACACCAGATCATTTCCATTCACTACTGGTGACCCTATTTCTCGAGGCAATAAAAGGCCAACAAAAAACTCGCCTCATCGCCACAAAGAAAGTTCTCTCATTCTTTCTTCTTCTTCGCTCATCTCCTACAAGAAAGGGCGAAGAATCTTGCTCCTCCGATTTCGCTTATCCATCGATTCCTTTTAGGTATGTTTAGCTTTCTCTCAGATCTCTCATCGCTTTAAATCTCGTCGTTTCTCCATTGTTTGTTCATTTGATTTTATTGGATCTGTGATTTCAGTCTTATATGTTATATCAACAAGGTAAAATGATTTAGATTCGTGTGTTGAAGATCTGATGTGTATTTCTGGATGATTTGAATCTAGATCGCTGTTTTGTTCGACTAGATCTGCTTGTTTTCTTTACGTTTCTTCGATCTTCTTGTGTATTCCTCGGAAATGATTCGGCTGTTTTGCTTATATTTTACGCCATTTGGTTACTGATGTATGGATCTGTTGTGCGGACCTCGTTGACGAAATTTTTTCTGCTTATGTATGGATCTGCTCGGAAATGACCTTTGGGTTGCATCATTTCATAGAGTATATATTGGATTGATCTGTTACTAGCTTTCTTATACAGAAAGCATACGTCTGAAGTCGTATTTGTATAACCTTCTCTTAAAAAGTCCATCCAGTGTTCCAATTAAGCCATGTTTGTTAGTTTTGTGTGTATTAGCATTGTTTTTTTCGTGTATGCTCTCTTTTGTTGACGATGTATAACTCAGTTTTTAAAGCCAAACTGGCCTCCTGTGTTGGAAAAGCTTATGTGATCTACAGTCGTTTTTTGCTGCTTACGTTTGTATTCGCAATCGGTCTTAAATGATTCTCACTGCCTAATGTGTATCTGTTTAGGCGCATAAATGGTTTTTCTGCAGTCTTATAGTTTGTTAATGGTTGTTTGCTTTTGCAGAGGTCAAAATGGTTGATCAGACTCAGCACCCCACGATTCTGCAGAAGGCTTCTGGCCAACTCATGCGTTCAAGTGTAACTCATGACATTCATGGAGCTTTCCAGAGGCCTGCTACATTCCAGAGGCGTGCATACGGGAACTACTCCAATGCTGCGTTCCAGTACCCCCTTGCGTCCACATCTCGGATTATGACAACAACTGCTTCTCCAGTGTTTGTCCAAGCTCCAGGAGAGAAGGGATTCACCAGCTTTGCTATTGATTTCTTAATGGGTGGTGTTTCTGCTGCTGTGTCAAAGACTGCTGCTGCTCCCATCGAGCGTGTCAAGCTTTTGATTCAAAACCAGGATGAGATGCTCAAGGCTGGCAGACTCTCTGAGCCCTACAAGGGTATTGGTGACTGCTTCGGCAGGACGATTAAGGATGAGGGTTTCGGTTCTTTGTGGAGAGGAAACACTGCTAATGTCATCCGTTACTTCCCAACTCAGGTTGGTTAAGTTTTAATTCTTTGCTCCTAAAAAATGTTTAGTACTAATATGATAATGCATTGGTTGCTGATCTTTCTTTGAACTTGCTTGCTAGGCCTTGAACTTTGCATTCAAAGATTACTTCAAGAGGCTTTTCAACTTCAAGAAAGACAGGGATGGCTACTGGAAGTGGTTTGCTGGTAACTTGGGATCTGGAGGTGCTGCTGGTGCCTCTTCCCTTCTCTTTGTGTACTCTCTTGACTACGCACGTACCCGTCTTGCCAATGACTCCAAGGCTGCCAAGAAGGGAGGTGAAAGGCAGTTCAATGGTCTTGTTGATGTCTACAAGAAGACCCTCAAGTCTGATGGTATTGCTGGACTTTACCGTGGATTCAACATCTCCTGTGTTGGTATCATTGTCTACCGTGGTCTCTACTTTGGACTGTACGACTCTTTGAAGCCTCTTCTCCCTGGTGACTTGCAGGTTTGTTTGTGCTCCAATAACTCTCTCATGTCCATAGATTGACCCTATAGTGCCTTTGTTTGTTTCTAATGTTGTTATCTCTCTTTCCTTTCTGGAAATTTCAGGACAGCTTCTTCGCTAGCTTTGCTCTTGGATGGCTCATCACCAATGGTGCTGGTCTTGCTTCCTACCCAATTGACACGGTTCGCAGAAGAATGATGATGACATCAGGTGAAYCCGTCAAGTACAAGAGTTCGTTGGATGCGTTCCAACAGATCCTGAAGAAGGAAGGACCCAAGTCTTTGTTCAAGGGTGCTGGCGCCAACATCCTTCGTGCCATTGCAGGTGCTGGTGTGCTTTCTGGTTATGACAAGCTGCAGTTACTTCTTCTCGGAAAGAAGTACGGATCTGGATCTGGATGAGGAAGTACCCTACTATTCACCATAAAGCTTCGGCTTTCCTTTTTTTTTCCCGATTTATTTGCAGTTTTTCAGACTTTATAAGATAAGAAAAGATGTTGATGAAATCTTTTTCCTTAAAACTAGAGAGGAGCAAAGGTCAAATTTATCCTTTGGACGATAAGTTTTACCCTTTTGGAATAATTTCTGTATGGGAGGGAGAATTTGACTTCCCAAGCTATGGTTTTTTGTTTTTACCGCTTTTTATATGATGAGTATTTTTCTTCTTATTTTTTTGGGATTTAACATGTCTCTTTTGTTGAAACTTTACAACAATTGTCGATGAGGAAATAAGTTCCATTAAATTCAAGAAATGTCTTGTATAAACGGTGTCAAATTATCTTTGTAACGTATAATTTCACTTGAGTAGCGAAAAGCTTCAGTCGAACTCAATAGCGAGGAGCACGTTTTCCAAAAGTTAGAAAACCATACAAAGAACCTTTGGAATGCTCCTTTTTATATAATCCATTTTGGGCCGAAGTTGAGACTAAAATTCTCTCGTGACCTATACAATCCTTTCTCACGCTCAGTATCTGTTCGTGATTTTTTGATTCATGTTTCCAAGCTGTTTTGCCAAAGTCGTGCCTGCGCATACACTGCACCTTTCTCCAAAGGAAGAATTTTAATAA